TGAAGCAGTCATCTTGACCTCAGCAAGCTGAAAGGCTGATGGGTGCCAAAGTGTTGTAGAAGGTCAGCCAGCTCAAGCCGCTGGTCTTTCCATCTGTCTTTTTAAGCAAGATTGAAATGAGAGACTGTGCTGCTGTTATGGAACAAATGGTGAGCAGGGCTGAGTCTTGGATTTACCAATAGTATCCAGAGAACAAGGCTTATTCACAACAGTGGCTTCTGAGAAGAGGCTGTGCGGGGTCAGTTAAATTCAAGGCAGAGAGGCCAGCTGTTGGGGGGATCTTAAAGGGGTCATCTTGATAAATTTTCTTGACGAAAATAGGATGATCACAGGGGCTTATTAGGAAGACGTTTTAAGAAAATTGATGAGGAAAAGGCCAGGAAAGTTGCACTGAGGAATTTTTTTTTCATCATTACAATGCACCTGCTTATATACTGGGGAAGTCCTATGAGAATTTTGTTGGGAAACCTTATCCCATCCAACCTGCAGCCCCGATCTTGCTCTTTCAGACTCTTTTGGTTTTCCAAACTCAAAGCATGATTTGAGTCCTTCAGGAATGCCCAAACTGCTGTGTAAATGAAAGAGTCCAGAATTCTTTGGGGAAGGTTTAGAGACATGGAAACACTGCCTTCAGAAGTAAATAGGTTTAAATGGAGGCTATGTCAAGAAGCAATAGTTTCACATTTTGATGTTTTTCTTTAATAAAAATATGATTTTGTAGCAATACTCTTTGACTTAACCCTCTTATAATTAACATTTTATCATACTTGCTTTATCTCATATCCATTTATTCATCCCTCTATTCATAGTTTGCATATAATGAAATGTGAAAATCTTCAATATACTATTTGCTGAGTTTTAACTAATGCATGCATCTATAAATATCCACCCTCACACCACCCCAGAGGCAAGGCACCACTCTGATTTTTTTCCCATCATTGACTAATTTTACTTCTTTTAGATTGTCATATAAATGGGATCATGGATTTCTTCTACTCAATATGATGTTTTTGAAATTCAGCCATTTTGTTGCGTGTAACCGTGTTCATTCCTTTTGGCTCCTATTTCATTTGGTGAATGAATATGCCTCCGTTTATTCATTCATTCACCAGCTAAAGGATATTTGGGTTGTTTCCAGTGTTTGGCACTTAGGAATCAAGCCACTTTAAACATTTGCATACAGGTGAGCATAAGTGTTTATTTCACTTATACAAATACCTCAGCTTAGAGTCCCTGGATCAAAAGAAGTTACAGCATACCTCAGAGATATCGTAGGCTCAGTTCCAGACCATCTCAGTAAAGCAAATACCACAATAAAGCAAATTAAACAGATTTTTTTTTTTTTTCATTTCCCAGTACACATAAAAGTTGTTTTTAAATTATACAACATCAGCAGTTCTAACTCAACAGTCACTGCATGGGAAAAAGATGAAGCTCTGTCTACTCCCTTCAAGATTTGCAGGCTTGGAAACCCTATTATAGGGTCACTATGAGTTGGAATAATAGTGATATTAACTGGGCTTCCTGGAGGCACATGGATATTATCCTATCACAGACAGCGTTGTACCTCATGACTGATCTGGATATGTTCTTTTTGACAATGAATGCCACAGCATTCTTCTTCAATTTGTCATTTCCGGCATAGTAAACCATGGGGTCATCAGATTCAAAATGGCCAATACCAGTCCATTTCAGTTAACTAATGCCTAAGATATCAATATTTATGTGTTCCATTTCATTTTTGACAACTTCCAATTTTCCCAGATTCATACTTTGTACATTCCATGTTCCGCTTTTGAGTGGATGATTGCAGCTGTTTCTCTTCATTTTGAGTTGTGCCCCATCAGCAAATGAAGGTCCCGCAGGCTTTTCTCACATGGGATTTACTCCATTCGCGTCATCACGGTCAACTCTACTCTGAGGAGGCAGCTCTTCCCCAGTCGCATTTTGAGTGCCTTCCAACCCATTTCAAAGAGAGGTGACCCAATGGAACGAAGAAAATAATCGGACAATCTCTTTGATATCCCATGTGAGTAAAGTTTTACTAAAGGTAATACAGAAACAGCTGCAAGCATATACTGACAGAGAACTTCCAGAGGTTCAAGCCGGATTCAAAAAAGGCCATGGGACAAGGGATATCATTGCTGATGTCTGATGAATGTTGGCTGAAAGCAGAGAATACAAAAAGATGTTTACCTGTGCTTTATTGACCACACAAAGGCTTTTGATTGTGTGGATCATGACAAGCTATGGACAACATTGTGAAGTATGAGTATTCCGGAGCACTTAATTGTGCTCATGAGGAATCTGTACATGGATCACGAGGCAGTTGTTCAAACAGAACATGGGAACACTGAATGGTTTAAAATTTAAAAAGGTGTGCAACAAGGTTGTATTCTTTTACCATACTTATTCAACCTGTGTGCTGAGCAAATAATCCGAGAAGCTGGGTTCTATGAAGAAAAACTTGGCACATCAGGATTGGAGGAAGATTCATTAACAACCTGTGATATGTAGATAATACAACCTTGCTTGCTGAAAGTGAAGAGGACTTAAAGCATTTACTTATGAAGATCAACGAGCACAGCCTTCAGTATGGATTGCATCTCAATGTAAATAAAACTAAAATCCTGACCACTAAACAACATTCTTATCAATGGAGAAAAGATTGAAGTTGTCAAGGACTTCATTTTTCTTGGACCAACTATCAATACTCACGGGAGCAGCAGTCAAGAAATCAAACGACTTATTGCATTAGGCAAATCTGCTGCACAAGACCTTTTTAAAGTGTTGAAGAGCAAAGATGTCAGCTTGAGGACGCAGGTGTGCTTGGCCCAAGCCATGGTATTTTCAACAACCTCATATGCATGCAAAAGCTGGACAATGAATAAGGAAGACCGTAAAAGAATTGATGCTTTTGAGTTACGATGTTGGAGAATATTGAAAGTGCCATGGGCTGACAAAAGATCTGTTTGGAAGAAGTGCAGCCAGAGTGCTCCTTGGAGGCCAAGATGGCCATATTTTGTCTCTGATACTTTGGACATATTGTCAGGAGGGATTAGTTCCTGGAGAAGGATATCATGTTTGGTAGGGTGGAGGGTCAGAGAAAAAGAGGAAGACCCCCAATGAGATAGATTGGCCAAGTGGCAGCATTGATGGACTCAAGTGTGGCAACAATTGTGAGGTTGGCCCACAATTGGGCAGTGTTTTATTCTGCTGTACATAAGGTCACTATGGGTTATTACCGACTTGATGGCACCTAACAACAACAAATGAGTTAGAACCAGCTTATTGACAGTGAGTGTGTATGTATATATATGTAGTATATTAAAGTACGTGATAGCATTATGAAAAAGTTTGAAATACTATGAGAAGGACCAAAATGTGACACAGAGACACAAAGCAAGCACATGCTCTGGGAGGCTGGCACCAGTAGACTCGCTCAACTCTAGGCTGTCACAGCCTTACATTTGAAAAAAAAAAAAAACAAACAAAAACAATTATCTGCTAAGTGCAGTATAGTAAAGCACAATAAAATGAGGTATGCCTTTATATATTTGGTTTCTGAGAAATTGCCAGACCTTTTTTTCAAACTGCCAGTATCACTTTATACTCCTTCCAACAATGCATGAGATGTTCTCGTGGTCCCACATGTTTACCAACACTTGGCATTATTGTTTTTTTTAAGTTAGCCATTCTGAAGGGAATATAGTAGTACCTTAATGTGGTTTTAATGTAAATTAATGACTAATGAGGACCCCTAGTGTGGTGCTGTATGGTAAGCACTGGAATGCTACCACAGATTAGCTGTTCAAACCCACTTGTTGCTCTTCAGAAACACTTTGGCAGCACTTAACAACGACAATGAAGGGGTCCTGGTGGCACAGTGACACGAATCCCAAGGTTGGTGATTCAAACCCACCAGCTGGTGTCTGCTCCTATAAAGATTTCATCTCAGAAGTTCTACTCTATTCTGTAGGGTCACTATAAGTCAGAATCGACTCAGCGGCAGAGGGTTATTTGGACTGACTAATGATATTAAGGAGTCCTGGCATGGCGCTGTGGGTTAATGCGCCAGACTGCAAAGCCGTTTGAACTGCAAGGTCAGTGGTTCAAGCTCACCAGCTGCTCCCTGGAAACCCTATACAGCGTCGCTATGTATTGGAACCAACTCTACGGCACTGAACAACAACAATGATATTTAACCAGATGATATTTTTCATGTGCTTATTGACCATATATTTCCCTTTGGAAAATATCTGTTCAGATCTTTTGCCTTTTTTTTATTTGGGTGGTTTGTCTTTTTATTACTGAGTTATTGGAGTTCTTCATATATCTTGGATTCTGGTCCTCTGTCACATAAATGTTTTGTAAATATTGTCTGCCAGTATGTGACTTGTTCATGTTCTTAGTGATTTCTCTTGAGGGACAAAAGTTTTTCATTTTGATGCAGTCTATTTTATCAATGCTTTCCTTTTTATGGCTTTTGCTCTCTGTGTCCTAAGAAACCTTTGTCTACCCCAAATCCTGAATATGAATGTTCCTTTTTGAAACATGTGGATGAAGGTGTGGGGGATGAGTACAGGTCACTAGAGAGCCAAGCAAGTCCCAGACGAAGTGAGTCAGTGGACAGAACATGGTGTTGTAAAGTAGCTCGGAGTCCAAGTGCTGGCTCTCCTAGTTGTGTGATGTAGGGGAAGTTCCTTACCTTCTCTGAGCTTCTGTTTCTTCTTAGAAAGGGGGTGACCCCTTCTATGATTGCTGTAAAGATTGAAAAAGACACTGAAGGTGAAAACGACTTGCCTAGTTGCCTGTCAAGAGGCGGTCTGCTTCTTTTCTTCTTCCTGTCTGGTTACCTGGGTGGTTATTTTGCAGTGGCCACCACCTGCCCACACCTAGACGCTCTTCATGTGCCTGCGTGGGGGATGACGTTAAGAGCCAAGCTTCTGACTGCATGCCCTGTAGCATTTCATACCAGTTTCCCCTTCTTCCTTCTGCAGGACAAAGTTGCCATGGAGAGTATGCCTCTGCTGGGCTTCACCATTGTACCAGAGAAGGAAGAGGGCAGCAGTGAAGTAGGGCCCATTTTTCACCTTTACCACAAGAAAACTCTATTTTATAGCTTCAAGGCCGAGGATACCAGTGCAGCTCAGAGGTACCAAAATATTTAGCCCTTTGCCCCCCACGCTTCTCTCTAAAGAAAACAAATTGGTACCCAGGGCTTCAGCTCCTGTTCTCCAGCCATCACATCCTACTAACTCCTTGGGACCAAAGCTCGACAGCAGTCTATTCCCAGCGTAAGAATGCCTGCATTCATGGTTCGCTCATACAGGCACGCATTGATTCAGTCTACTTTTGCACTGTGTCCCAGGCCTTTTGCTAAGTCCTAGGGAAACATTTGAATATTTCATGGCCCCTGACTTAAAACTAGTAGTGAGCGAGTTCAGTCATACATAGGTTCTGTGACCAGAGTCACATGCCGAGCCACAAAACCAAGTGCCCTTCTTCTGTTTTGCAGATGGATTGAAGCCATGGACGAAGCTAGTGTGTTATAGCAGTTACCGAGTATGGACTCAAAATCAACTCTTCTAGAAGCTGATCCGTGCCTCAGTTCCTCTGGACATACATCTGGATCCAGAATGGGGTGTGGCCATTTTTGCCACTTTCTTACCCCTTCACAAGAAGGACCTCTCCTTTTTGTCTTGTGTTTCCCACCCTGTAATAAACAACGTTCTTATTCAGCAAAGAGTTACAAGTTAGTAACATGAAGGCACGGGAACCAATAGAAAAGAACATTTAGAAAGGGAGGCTAACAGTGGAAATGAAAGCTGATAGTTTTTACTCATGGTCAACAGTAGCAACCTTTATAGTGTTGAGTTGTGTGCCTCAGGAGAAACAACAGGAAGTAGTAGCCCCTCTCCCTGAAAGCACTTTATTGTTTTACTGAGCAGCAACCTCCACTTCCGTGTTTTCCAGGTATTTACTGAAGACAGATTTACTGTATAAGAGTTATTTGGAGGCTCTCCTGACAGTGGGAGCCACGCTCCCCTGGATTAGAAGGGAAATCTGTGTTCTTGTATCCAGATATAATTTATTAAAGGGAACACAACCTTCCTTACCCTCAAGTCCTCATCCCTACACCAAGTACTGGGACGTCAGCTGCTGGCTGATCCAGCCCCTGGAGGTCACTGCAACTCCTGTCAAGAGTCAAAGGTCATATTAATTTAATGTGTATCTTCCTGTTGTACCTCACACAAGTGACAACATTGTGTAAGAGAATACTTATTTTCGGCATGGTCATCCTTCAGTGGAGTCCCTGGGTGATGCAAAAGGTTAACTTGCTTGTCTGCTAACCAAAAAGCTGGAGGATTGAATCCACACAGAGGCCCCTCAGAAAAAAAGCGTGGTAACCATTGAAAAACCAGCCATTCAAAACCCTGTGGAGTACAGTTCTCTGATACACCTGGGTCACCAAGGGTCAGGGTCATCTCAATGGCAACTACTCACTGGTTAATTCTTCAGCTGTACTACCGAAGCTTTTATAGTTTTTTGAAGGAGATAAAAAGAGAGAAAACAAGATACAATCTGAAGATGAATCCGTGCTCTTTGCAGATGACTGTGGACACAGTGAGGGAGCCCAGAAACAGTGTTCAGAAGATACTCTTGAGTGTCTGGAGTGAAATCATCTCCATCATCTCCCGCTGGTAACTTCTATGTAGAGCAGGGGTGTGGAGACAGGACTCCTTGTTACTTTCAATGCAATAAGACAACACAATCATCTCTGATTCCCTATCCTCATCCTCTCGCTGCCCCTGCCCCCGAAACAGAGGAATTTGCTCATCCACCTTTTGAGAAAGCACCATCTTAACGAGATACCTACATTAAGTATTTTCAGGGGAAAATTTTTTTTCTATGTGCAGTTTTTCTTTTAAAATGTTGGCATTAAACAATAATTCAAGCTGAGTGGTTAGAGAGATCTTTTTTGCTAGGTTTTGGGGACCTAATTCCAGTTTAATTATTGTCATCGTCAAATATATTGAAATGGACCTCCTGGGGTCTTGTAGCTCCTTGGGTGGTACAATTGGTAATGCACTTGACTGCTAGCTGAAATGTTAGAGGTTTGAGCTCACCCAAAAGGACCTGGAAAATAAATTCTCCTTAGAAAAAGCACTCATTGAAAACCCTCTTGTTGTTGTTGTTGTTAGATGCCATTGACTCAAAGTGACCCTGTGCACAATAGAACAAAACACTGTGCAGTTCTGCACCATTCTCACAATTGTACTTTTGAGCCCATTGCTGCTGCCACTGTATCAATCCATCTCGCTCGAGGTCTTTTTCGCTTTACCAAGCATGATGTCCTTCTCCTGGGACTGGTCAATCTTGATAACATGTCTGAAGTATGAGAGACGAAATCTCACTATCCTGGTTTCTAAGGGGCATTCTAGCTGTACTTCTTCCATCACAGATTAGTTTGTTTTTCTGACAGTTCATTGTATTTTTAGTATTCTCCAGCAGTTTAACTGAAATGCATCAATGCTTCTACAGTCTTCTTTATTCGTTGCCCAACTTTTACCTATGAGGCAACTGCAAATTCTTAGTCCTCAAACTGATATCTTTGCTCTGCTCTGACAGACATGGTCAGCATGAGTTGGAGTTAATTTGACAGCAATGCATCGTTTCCTAGACCTTTTGAACTCTTTAAGAAGCACAGCAAGAATTCAGTACCAGGCAGTAGGGCTTTCCCCAGCTTGTCGCATGCTGCCAGACATCATCAGTGTCTGAGCACCAGATAGAATTCAGGCTGAAAGTTATCTGAAACCTCTTATTTTATAGCGTTATATCTGACATTCTGTAAAGAAGAAGCAATAATGGTTTTTATTTCCCACTGAGTAGTTACCTTAATAGAGTCTTGGTGTGGTGCTGTGGGCTAATGTGTCAGACTGCACAGTTGTTTGAACTGCAACATCAGTGGTTCAAGCTCACAAGCTGCTCCTTGGAAACCCTATACAGGGTCGCTATGGGTCGGAATCAACTCAACAGCACTTAACAACAACAACCATTAGGTTAAGGAGCTCTGGTAGCATAGTGATTACAAGTTGGGCTGTGAACCTCAAGGTCAGCAGTTCAAAACTACCAGCTTTTCCACAAGAGAAAGATGAGGCTTTCTGCTCCCGTAAAGATTTGCAGCCTCGGAAACCCTATACGGGTCACTCCAGGCCAGGGGAGGGGACTGCCCAGCCCACTGACCATGTGTTGTTGTTGAGTGCCAAGTCAGTTCTGACTCATAGACATCCTGTATAAGATTTTCAAGGAGTGGCTGGTGAGTTTGAACTGCCAACCTTGTGTTTCAAATCTACCTTGTGGTCCAGTACTTTATCCCAAGGCCTTCTAAATCATTTGGTCTGACCCTGTCAAGACAACCACAGTTGCAGCCATCATGTTGTTGTTGTTAAGTGCTGTCAAATAGATTCCAACTCAAAGAGACCCTGATTAGTGTTTCCGAGAAATGGCTGGTGGGTTTGAAAGCCTGACTCTGCAGTTCAAACTGACCTTGCGGTCCAGTGCATTATTTAGTGCACCACACAAGGGTGAGTTAATGAAATGTTTGACGAAATATGGCAGGCTAAATTTTTTTTTTTTAAGGTTTTTATTGTGGATTGAGTGAAAGTTTACAGGGCAGATCATCAGCATTCAACATTCAACAAATCATACACCTTATTTCATTACAATGATTATAATCCCCTCCATGTACCATCAGTTAACAGTAGTTCTCTCTACCCACTTTAGCTTTTTAAACAAAACAGAAACACTCAGGTATACATAATAATTTAGATCTCCAAAGGGCACATATTGCCTCCTAGCCACCAGCTCTTAGTCCCTCTCGTCCCATAAATCTAGAGTCCTCAGCTGCTCCCCCTCTCCATGACCCCATCTCAGCCTCTATCTCTGACATTGCTGCTTCTCTGGATAAGGTCCCGCATTCTGCTTGTGCTCTTCTCCCTTGATGGTCCTATGGTCCTCTGTTTCTGGACTGTAAGATTAACCACTCACCTGTGTTTGTTACAAAACTTCTACCTTTACAATTGTGACAATTGCAGTTAGTCATGATAACAATTATTCACAATTAAATCATAAGAATCTTATCCCTATCTCTTTTCACCAGACCCATCTAGACAAGATGAAAGCTATTCAGTGGGGACTCTTTCTTTCCCCCCATACTCTTAAACTAAACTCCCTCTTGAAACCTTGTAAGCCAGTCACTTTGTGCCTTTATTGTCCCTTCATTTTAGGTAGTCAATGTCTTAAGTTGCCCATCCCTATCTACCCTGTATACAGAGGGGATAGCATTGATACATGATGTGAATGAAGACTCCTTCCCTCTCTGTTGGTATTTAGAGTAACTACTTCTCTGAGTATAGGTCAGGATCATCAAATTGAAGCAATTTACCCTTGTTTCCTTTATC